GGTCAGCTCCTGGCCATGTTCCTCCACCAGCTCTTGAATGTCGTCCTCATTCACCTCCAGTCCACGGTCTTCCCCAAAGACACAATTTCATCGACAACTGTTCCTGAGGAAAGTCTTCAAAGTCTCCAAGAGCACCATCACACCACAGTTTTTTCCAAGCAGAATTGAGGGCTCTCTTGGTGACCCCATCCCAGGCTTTATTGATCTTGAGGCAGTTCCGGATGTGGACTGATTTTTCCGAAACTCTCGGAGTGTAACATTCGTTCCTTCGGTCGTTTCGAAGCATAACAGAAATAGTGCTTTGGTGTAAAGCTTTTTAAAGTTGGAAATTACCTGCTGATCCATGGGCTGGAGTAGTGGAGTGGTGTTAGGGGGAAGGAACTTTACCTTAACTCCCTCCAGTAAGTCGACCTGGAGGATGAGCATTATCCATTACCAGCAGGACTTTGGTCCTAGAGTGAAGAAATACCTTTTTAGAAAATAATCTGCCACTCAAAGACTTCATTGATCCACTCAAACAAGATACGAGTGACCCAAGCCTTGCTGTTGGACCTCCACATAACGTTTAACTGACTCTTTGCACTTCTTGAAGGCTCGAGGATTCTCGAAATGATACATGAGCAGTAGCTTGATTTTTAAATCCCCATTTGCATTAGCACAAAACGAAGAGGGTGAGAGTCTTTCGTGGGCTTGTGACCAGGCATTGCATTCTCTTCTGCTGTAATGTAGGTCCTCTTTGGCATCTTTCCAAAAAATCCCCATCTCATTGCAGTTAACTTGCTGCGGCAGGTAACACTTGGAAACCATGAGCTTTTGGAACTTATCAGCGAACACCTCAGCTGCTTTAGCGTCCGAACTAGCAGCCTCTCCATGCCTCCCAACACTATGGATGCCACTTCTCCTCTTAAAGTTCTCAATCCATCCCCTGCTTGCCTTGAAGCCGCCTTTGTTTTCTGCCAATGTACGTGGCAGTTTACTTACAAGGTCGGCATACAAGGCCTTTGCCTTCTCGCAGATAATGTCTTTGGGCACAGTATCACCTGCTAGTTGCTTCTCGTTTTATCCAGAGGAGAAGCAACTTTTCTACATCTTCCAGAACACGTGGCCATTGCTTTGATACTCTCGTGACTCCTTTTTGCTGCATCTAGCCCCATTATTTCTTTAATATTGTGCAAATTGTCGACGTACACTTGTTATACAATCTTGCGATGTCAGCCACTCGCATATCTCGTTCATGCTTTTCGATTTCCTTTTTAACTCCGCCATCATCATTTTCTTCTTACTGCCTTCCTTTTCTAGCTTTTTTTTTTTTTTATTTTCCTTAATCGGGTCTATTGTTGCAGTACAGAGCTGAATGAGGCACACCGATGGAGACTGGGAGATGATTGCCCACAATCCTGCAGTGAGAGAGAACCATCGGCTCAGTTGTGACGTGACGCTTGGCGACTACTCGTATTGCAAGACCTCGTTTATCAAGTTAAAATTTATGAACAAATGTTGCTAGTCTTGCAAAACATTCACGGACCAAGTTACTCGCAATCCTAGGTTTTACTGTACTCACAAATACAGGCTATTGATTGCAAACAAGAATTGTTTGCACTCACAAAGTGTTTTTCCTAACAAATTAATTCAAGACAAAATGTAACACACCCCGATGAGTCTTGGGAGCAAGGCTAAATTTTGGACAAAAAAAATAAACAAGAATTCAACTGCAGGTGAGTCTAATTAGTCATTAAATAGGTGTCCAACAGACAGTTGATTATAAAAGGGTGTTACTTAACAAAGAAAACCCCTTCCCAGTTTATGCTGTCAGCAATGGCAACACATGAAAGGAAAAATGTCACAAGGCCTAAGAAAGTAAGTAATTACATAAGAAAGGTGAAGGCTACAAGAAGATCAGCAAAGCTTTACTTATCAGTCAGAATACTGTAGCAAAAGTGATACAAAAATTTAACAAAGATACAACTGGAACCATCTCAGACATCCAGGCCATCCACAAACTTTTAACACCTCGACAGAATCGTCTTCTGATGAGAAGGGTTAAAGACCATCACCATGCAAGTTCACTGCAGTTAGCTAAAGGAGCAGAAAGCCAAAGTGGGGTGATTTGTTTCCTGTGACACAAGGAATGGCATTTATGGGTGTCATCCATGAAGGAAGCCATTCCAAAAGCCCATGCACAAAAAAGACTACTATAACAATGTACTCCGCAGTGAGGAGATAAAGATAAATGTTTTTGGAACTGATGGCTTCAAAACTGGTGTCACAAAGGTGTACAAAGAAAAATGCATGGTGCCTACAGTGAAACATGATGGTGGCAGTGTCCTTCTATGGGGCTTCATGAGTGCTGCTGGTGTTGGGGCTCGGCATTTCATTGATGGTATCATGAATTCACAGATGTACTGCTCTATATTGAAAGAGAAGATGCTGCCATCACCCACGCCCTTGGTTGTCATGCACTTTTCCAACATGACAATGATCCAAAACACACATCTAAGGCCACTGTAGCATTTCTGAAGAAGAGCAGGGTAAAGGTGATTCAGTGACCAAGCATGGCTCCTGATCTGACCCCAATCAAACAACTATGGAAAATTCTGAAGAGACAAGTTGAGCATCACTCTCCACCCAGCATTCAGGCTCCAAAAGAGGTCATTCTTGCAGAATGGAAAAAGATGTTGCAATATGTTGCCAACTTGTTCATTCCATGCCTAGAAGACTTGGTGCTCTCCTTACAAATCATGGAAGTCATACAAAATACCAGATGGAGTAGTTTTTCTTGTGGATGTATATAATTTTTGAATCAACTAATTTGAGTAAAACTGAAGATTTTGTAATAAGTTATAATAACCTTGCTTTCATGGAATGAGCTAAACAAATATTCCATAACACTCAGCTTTGTAAAAAAAATTTTTTAAATTGTTCTTGTGTTCATTGAAATTGATTAAAATCTTACATTTCAAAAGAGGGTACTCCTTTATGCTGAGCACCGTACATGTAGCATTTTAACGCAATGCAGAGAACTGCACATGACACCAGCGCTGTGGTAGGAACAGAATACATAAACAATTTTTAGTTGTGTGTTCTTGCGGTCACCTGCATTCTTCTAGTGCGCTAAATCACAGGTCACTGCAGTATGTGTGAACAACGCCTCAATTTTGTAATCATTAGACGTAAAATTTATCTTGGTTCAGATCAGGCAGCAAGTGAATCAGTGACCCATTAATGCTATCCAGCAGCAGCTGGACTAAAGTCAGAAAGCATTCTTGGGGTGCCTTTTTAAAATCTTGCATTGTGTAATCTCTCTCCTCTGAGCACGCACACCACAATGAAAGGCCAGTAGGCGGGTTCCTCCTGAAGCCTGTGCTATGTAACTTTCTCTGTACTGAGTCACCAATCACTTTCAAGCTTGCTAGTGGGTTTTAAAGTCCACCTCTGTGAAATTCTATTGTTCCTTTTGGTATGAGACACTGTATCGCTACACAAAGCTGTTCCTAAGCCTTGAATTTGCTGCTGAAAGCGCTAAAATGCATCTGTGTTCTGTGCATACCTACCTTGTGTGCTGTGTAAAACATGTTATATTTTGGGGTTTAATATGTACCTTATCAGTTTCTGATGTCAAACCTTTGACAACATGTTGCAAAGAAAATGTCTGAAGGCAAGTATGTCGGAGGAAAAAACGCAGGCTTTTATTAAAACTACTATGTAGCCCAGAAATCATGAACTGTCAGTTTCATATTATAGACTACCTATAAATTGGCATAGATGTTTATTGCTGATTAAACCTAATGTAGCATTAAAGCAGAGTTCCGGCACCAGCTAACCCCCAAACACATACACAAAATTGAAAGTCCGTAGCTACAAATACTGTAGCTGCTGTCTTTTCAATATTAGGTCACTTACCTGTCCAGGGATCCAGCAGTGTCCCCACCCTAAGCTGACTCTTCATTCGGCTGTTGGGTGCTGATGCTGCCATCTTGACTGAGGGAAACGGGCAGTGAAGGCTTGCGGCCTCACAGCTGGTTTCCCACTGGGCATATGCGAAGCATGCTGTGCTTTGTGCATGGGCTGCAGTCCTCTGGGACCTGTCAAGTGTCCGGGGGGGGGGGGGGGGGGGGGGAACTTCAACTGTCAAAACCAGGTACCCCCTCCATCCCCCCAAAATGGGCCAAATGTGTCAACGGAGATGGGAGGAGGCAGATAAATGGAGGTTTCACTTTTGGGTGGAACTCTGCTTTAAAGCTGTTCTAATTTACAACATTTTTTTTTCTTAACGCATTCCCTACATAAAGTTAAAAATGTCCCTTTTTGTTATATCACCCTCTCACCCCCTTTGTACTTACCTTGATCCAGCAATCTGCAGCGGCGCTGATCTCTCTCTTCACAGGACTCGGAGCAGCGGGAGCCATTGGCTCCTGCTACTATTAAATCCTGTGAGAAGGTAGCCTGGAGAAGGGGGGGGGGGAAGGGGGGGCAGGGAGGAGTGAGAGGTAAGGGCTGAGCCACTCTTTGTGTCTATAGACGTACACCGTCTGACATGATATCGAGCCCGCAGGTGCACCCCCATAGGAAGTGGCTTTCTTTGGCGGAGAAGAGAAGTAGCCTAGAATATTGGTGGAGGACCCCTGAAGAGTAGGTTCTCAGGGCTGCTCTGTGCAGTACCATAGCACAGAGCAAGCTAGTGTAGCTTGCTTGTTTTAGAAAAATAAAATCAGCTTCACGCTGCTTTTACTAGGGGAGAGAAGCATTTCTGTTTTGAACATAAACTTTGACACAGGTTCTTTATGGCAGTTGACCGGACATATGGGTCTTGCTTAAATCGCAAAATAGGTCTTCACTCCTTTAAAAATACTTGCATCTTGGCGATATCTTGCACAGTTGGATGCTGGTGGGTTTTTTTTTTTTTTTTTCCCCACCATGAAACCAGATCTTCTGTAACAAGTCTAATTTCTTGTCTTGAGTTTAAATGTATACATCACTAATTGTATGTCCTTATTTTACAGGATGCCAGGAAAGCATGTGCAGATGCCACTCTGGCTCAGGTAAACATTTCACCATACTTTCATTACTCTTATTTCATAGGAAGCCTTAAGCATTAGTTTAGTTGTATTAATTGGTTTTGCTTTTTTTTTCTTCTAGATCACAGCCAATATTGATCCAGTAGGTCGAATTCAGATGCGCACTAGACGTACCCTGAGGGGACACCTTGCTAAAATCTATGCTATGCACTGGGGCACAGATTCCAGGTGAATGTAGCTATAAAATGTCTGTACCTGCATGTGGTAGCAGCCATTGTTACTTGAAGCTATTACTCAACTATGTTTTCAAAAAGTTCTGAGATTCCATACACAGGAATTGCTACACAGGCATGCGAACAGGTCAGGAAAAGATAATATATTAATCATGAGGTACTTGGTGATACTAAAAGTTCCATTTTACCTGCTTAGGTTAAAGACTTACCTGATGCGCTTCCTCTGTTCATCCTTCTCGTCTGCTACTTCAGCCAGTCCCAACTGTTTCATGGTTTGGGGATGCAGGCGACCTACTCCCAGGCAGATGCCAGACCTGAGCACTGTCATTTAAGCAGGAGGATGTTAACCCTATGTAAGCTCCATGTTGGTGCTTACACAAGGATTGGGGACTGAGATATAATATAGTGGTTAGGAATGTATCACATGTTGGATTTTTTCTAATAAGAGAACTGGTTGCTTTTAGTGGGTATCATAATAAAGTTGAGAAACCCTACACTGACAGGTATTGTGTCAGACCTGGGACCCCTGAACTAAAGACTAATACATAGGGCTTCAAATGCAGTTATTTGTCACAGTTGCATGCATATTTGCTCCAGAAAATGTATATTTACACCCAACAAATATATGAATACGCTTAGATATACGCATGCGTTGCCTTTGCCCTCCTGGTAGTAGGCAAAACAAGCAGCAGAGTTCACTCTAAGCTTTGCTATCTTCCTGCCACGTCGTTTGATATTTGTACACCCTGCATGATTGAAATAATTCTTGACTTTAGCTGGAATCTGAGCCCAGCGTTTGGGCAACACTTGATTGTATTATTTTAAATGGTTGGCTTTTCACTATTTACTGTGTTTAGCACATTGCAGCCATGTGAAAAGTTTGAGGAATGCAGCATTACATTTTTTTCTTTAAACCTAGAACAGCACATACTCTGCACACCAAGCAATTTTGTGGCAATGTGATGGCTTTCAGAAATTTCATTCACAATACTTTCCTAGTTTCCAAATAACCACAAATGAAAATATAGGGTGGAAGTCTGTAAAAACCATGTCCGTGTGACACAAAAGGGGTTTTAAGCCTTCCACCAGTTTTTAGCCTTTTGAAGGCTGATTGAAATTCTTGTATTCGATACAGACAGTCTTTAAGTAGCACAGTTGTTCTCTTAGTGACAACTTAATGCCTACATTTTAGAGATTGGTCGTTTGGTGTAGTGATCAGATTGCAGAACAGACAAGACAAGTAAAAAAAATACCTTTTGTGTCATATGGCCTAACACATTGAACTCTTTTTCCAGCTTGGTAACATGAGGCCAATATTTATTGCTTAGCTGCCTACTCTCCTCTAGAAGGTCCTTTTTGCTCTGTATAACACTTCATTTTGTCACCAGAATGATGGCAGCACGCCTATGTGTTAGATTTGTGGTACTATGAAAAACAGGGTCTAGCGTATTTTTAATTTATTTTGTGTGGTGCTCAACTGATGTTTTTCTGACTTTTTCTCTACAGGCTGCTAGTTAGTGCCTCCCAGGATGGCAAGCTTATCATCTGGGACAGCTATACCACAAACAAGGTGCGTGACACAAAGTGAATGGTGCAGTGTAACCAAGCTCTGATTTACAATATAGACATTGTGATAACTGTGACTTTTGATCTCCTGGTTAACTGTTTAGCACAGTTTGAAGTAAATGATGCTTCCATTTTTAGTTACTCAAGTGTTCCATTTGAGAATGCAAATATTGTTCTCTGTGCCTCCAAAGCATCGAATGTGTCCTGTACAATATTGAAGTCAAATTTGTTGGAACAGTATAGATCAGGGGTGGCGAACAAGTTAGACACAAAGAGACAAAATTTTAAACTGTGAAAGTCAGAGAGCCACACCACGCAGTGACCTGCCAAAACAGACAAACACTCACACAAAAACACATAATTAAAACCATATTATTCACCATAACACTTTCTTCCCCTTACAAAACACAGGGATGACCAGACTGCGGACAGCACAGGGATGACCAGAGACTGCGGACAGCACAGGGATGACCAGAGACTGCGGACAGTACAGATGACTGCTGACCTTTGGGGAGGTGGGGAGCAGGTACCTGAATTTGACAGGTACCCGCTCTTCCGCAGAGTTTTTGTTTGATCTTACCTGTTCCTTGATCCAGCCGCGCGCTGTCTTCCCGGCTTCTGTAATGGCGCTCGGCATGACAGCCGGGTGCCCAGTGCGCATGAGCGAGAAGCACTTGCACTTTGTGATTGGTCCGGCGGCTTCTGGGATCTGTCATGTGTCCCAGGTACCGCCTTACCATTCACAAAAAGCACCGCTTCTTGCGCATGCGCACTTGGCACCCGGCTGTCATGCCCAGTGCCCACACTACAGAAGCCGGAAGACAGCGCGCCGCTGGATAGAGGAACAGGTAAGATCAAAGAACAAAGAAGTAAGAGCGGGTACCTGTCAAATTCAGGTACCCGCTCCCCACCTCCCCAAAGGTCAGCAGTAAGAGGCAAAGAGCCGCGTTCATTTTGGCCAGGAGCCGCGTGTTCGCCACCCCTGGTATAGATTATTCCTTACTTTTACAATCAGCTGTTTGACCTGATTTTTCTGCTTTATGGGATTTAGATTCCTGCAATGACTGATTTGTAGGCTGCCATAGCTAACGTAAAATTCCTAGTGACCTAGCTGTCCTTAGAGCCTGAGTGTTCATTGACCAAGAACAACTGGGTAGCTAGTCAAATAAGAAAGTATTTTTATATTAAGGACTCAGTCTTTAGATTAGCATAGCAACCAGATAAAAAAACAATGGAAGCCTATGCAACATCTTTGTACAGGTTTACCCAGCATTTCAGTGGTGTGAACCAGCTGGGAAGAGCAATGATGTGTAGCAGGTTGCAGCAAACAAATCCTACTTCAGTCTAATGTATACAGATCAGTGGAATATACAGTGCATCCAAAAAGCATTCACAGCGCTTAACTTTTGCCACATTTTATGTTACAGCCTTTTTCCAAAATGCTTTAAATTCATTTTTTTTTCCTTAACATTCTACAAACAATACCCCATAATGACAATGTGAAAGAAGTTTGTTTTCAAATCTTTGCAACTTACTAAAAATCTAAAACTAAAAAAAAAAAAAATGTACATAAGTATTCACAGCCTTTGCTCAATACTTGGTTGAAGCCTCTTTAGCACTAATTACAGCCTCAAGTCGTTTGGATTATGATGCTACAAGCTTAGACACACCTATTTTTGGGCAGTATCTTTGCAGTACCTCTCAAGCTCCATTAGGTTGGATGGGGACCGTTTCAGATCTCTCCAGAGATGTTCATTCGGGATCCAGTCTGGGCTCTGGCTGGGCCACTCCAGGACATTCAGAGTTGGCCCGTAGACACTCCTTTGTATTTGGGCTGTGTACTTGGGGTCATTGTCCTGTTTGAAAGATGAACCATTGCCCCAGTCTAAGGTCCAGAGCACTCTGAAACAGGTTTTCATCAAGGATGTCTCTGTACATTGCTGCATTCATCTATCCTACGATCCTGACTAGTCTCCCAGTTCCTGCTGCTGAAAAACATCCCCACAGCATGATGCTGCCACCACCATGCTTCACTGTAGGGATGGTATTGGCCAGGTGTTAAGCGGTGCCTGGTTTCCTCTAGACATGATACTTGGCATTCAGGCCAAAGAGTTCAATCTGTGTTTCATCAGACCAGAGAGTTTTGTTTCTCATGGTCTGAGAGTCCCTCAGGTGCCTTTTGGCAAACTCTAGGCGGGCTGCCATTTGCATTTTACTGAGGCGTGGCTTCCATCTGGGCATTCTACCATGCAGGCCTGATTGGCGGAGTGCTGCAGAGATGGTTGTTCTTCCGGAAGGTTTTCCTCTTTCCACAGAGAACTGCTGGAGCTCTTTCAGAGTGACCATTGGGTGCTTGGTTACCTCCCTGGCTAAGTCCCTTCTCCCTCGATTGCTCATTTTGGCTGGGCAGCCCGGTTTGGGTAGATTCCTGGTGGTTCCAAACGTCTTCCATTTACAGATGATGGAGGCCACCGTGCTCATTGGGACCTTCAATGCTGCAGTAATTTTTCTGTTCCCTTCCCCAGATCTGTGCCTTGATACAATCCTGTCTTGGAGGTCTACGGACAATTCCTTGGACTTCATGGCTTGGTTTGTGCTCTGACATGCACTGTTAACTGTGGGACCTTATATAGACAGGTTTATGCCTTTCCTAATAATGTCCAATCAACTGAATTTCCCACAGGTGGACTCAGTTGTGGAAACATCTCAAGGATAATCAGTGGGAACAGGATGCACCAGAACTCAATTTTGAGTGTCATGGCAAAGGCTGTGAATACTTATGTACATGTGTTTTTTTGTGTGTTTTTTTTTAAATTTATTTTTCATAAATTGCAAAGATTTCAAAACTAACTTTTTTTCACATCATTATGGGGCATTGTTTGTAGAATGTTGAGGGTGAAAAACATGAATTTAATCCTTTTTGGAATAAGGCTGTAACATAACAAAATGTGGCAAACGTTAAGTGTTGTGAATACTTTCTGGATGCATGGTATAATGTTCACTGGAAATTGCCTTGGTGAGCAAGCCTAAATGGTAAAAAAAAAAACTAGAATTTTTTTTTTTTTTTTTTACCAGCTTGTTTTGTTTAATGTTAGAGTATCTTTCTGAATAGTTGCTCTAATATATGATACTCAAACACCTGCTGAGAGGATGCTGTGAAGAACATCAAAGGATGTTCCTGAGATTTTTATGCCCAAGCCTTTATTTGGGCACAGCTGGGCTAAACCAAAGCTATTCAGACTTTATTAAGAAAACTTAAAAAAAATAGATTTCAGAGCAGTTAGTTTTTTTCTCGTTTCCGGCAGTGGAAAAGTAGTCTGAAATATGATTATTCCAAATTATTCCTCTGCTTTTCTCCGTATTTCATAAATCGCCCCCAAAAATGTATTAATGGCTTAATGGCCACTAAGGTGCTTTTGCAGAGCAGAACACTCATCTGTTGTGGTTTTGTGAGTATTAAAGTGGATCTACACTGGATCTGCGCACCAAAAACACAATTTGATTCATTTTTAGTATTCCAAGCAAACTCCCCCAACCATCAAGTCTCCATGCTTTATTTTGCTGAGAAGTCATTTTGAAAAACACCTGCTAGCATTTCTGGTTGTGGCCATCTTGAGTATTGGAATATGATTCATATAGCATTTACTTCCTGAAATCCATCTGGCCTTAGCTCAGACATGAAGACAAGAGGATGTGCTTAGCTAAGAAAGCCCTTTCTCCCCCTCCTGAAATTTTTGGGATGTATGGCATTTGCCAAAACTTGGAAACTAGGAAGTAACCAAAGAAATGTAAAAAAAAAAAAAAAGTTTAAAACCAGCAAATATAATATACCTTCCTATCTATTTACTAATGCTACCAGCATAAGGATGAAAAATAGGCAATATTAATTGAGAGAGTGAAGTTTCACTTTTATTTATATTGCAAGGCATACAGACACTTCTATATTGCGGGCTAAATTTGGTGTTATAGTCCAAAGTCCATATGAACAAAGTTCATGAAGGGCAGGCATCTTGTGGTATTCTATGAGTACACTAGCCATGCTCAGATTAGTTTGGATATATCTAAGGCAATCTAGATAAATTTGTTAAATTATAAAAATGCCTTGTCCACTTGAGGAATTTCCATGTATTCCTCAGCTGAGGCCCTTACAGCAGAGCTAAACTTAAGAACAATATGAATCCATTAGCTCTTTGACCAATGCATTTAGGTCTCATGCACACTGGGTTTTTTTTTTTTTTTTTTTTCAGCCCGTAAAAGCACTTGTTAGCCTCTCAGTAGCTCAACCAACCTTGCCCCCCCCCCCCTCCCAGATTTCCTGCTTTTGTATTTAAATTATAGATTCATTTGGAATGTTGGTGAGTTGCTGTTGGAAGGGAGCAGCAGGGTTCGCTGTGCTGCTGAGAGAATTACTTGAAAGACAATAGTATTCTAAGGATAATCCTACACACTACAGTCTGTCCAACCTTTTTACAATTATCTTTAGATTTAACAAAACTGTGATTTGAGGGCCTACCTAAAATATCCAATCCATTTGTATTCGGTCCAGCAGGTCCTTCAACTATATAGTAGGTGGATCCAAAGTAGATTAGCTAATTGAACTTATGTCTACAGTGCCATTACAAAGTATTCATACCCCTTGAAATTTTTCGCATTTTGTCATGTTACAACCAAAAACATAAATGTATTTTTTGGGGATTTTATGTGATAGACCAACACAAAGTGGCACATAATTGGGAAGTGGAAGGAAAATGATAGATGGTTTTAAAATATTTTTTACAAAAATAATTGTAAAGTGTGGCATGCATTTGTATTCAGCCCCCCTGAGTCAGTACTTTGTAGAATCACCTTTCGCTGCAATTAAAGCTGCAAGTCTTTTTGGGGATGTCTCTACCAGCTTTGCACATCTAGAGTGAAATTTTTGCCCATTCTTCTTTGCAAAATAGCTCAAGCTCTGTCAGATTGGATGGAGAGGGTCTGTGAACAGGAATTTTCAAGTCCTGCCAC